GGTCATGCAAGAGATGAAGTAATGTGACTCCTCCAGTTTTGTTTTTCTTTTCAAAATTGCTTGATTGTTTTAATTTTTATGTCTCTTTTATGATAAGTTTAAGAAGTGGCTTTTCTATTTCTTAAAAAAAAATTCTAGGATTTTGGTTGGGAGGGTACTTATCTGTAGGCAAATATGGAAGAGAATTAACATTTCAACAATACTGTCTTTTAATATATTAACAGTGTGCCTCTCTCTTTACTTAGGTCATCTCTCATTTCTTTATCAAATATTTTTGTTTTTAATATAGAAGGTTTGTCTATATTTTGTTAGATTTGTACCTAGATATATATTTTTAAATTTTAGATTTTGATTTTTCTTGGTTTTGTTTATTTTTTGTTTTGTAGATTTTGGTTTATTTGAGTCATTTTTTAAAACTGTAATTTTTAGTTGTAGTCTGCCATATCGATAGTAGATTTTTGTATATTGGTCATATATCTTGTGACTTTCATAAATCATGAATTAATTCTAACAGTATTGTAGATATTTTGGAAATTTTTTACAACAAAAATTATACTGTCTGACTTGAGATGGTTTTATTCCTTTCCTACTTGTCTCCCCACACCCCTCCCCCCCACACACACTTTATTGCAGTGAGTAGAAACTCGAGTGCAGTTGTGACTAGGAGTGCCTTGTTTCTGGATTTAGGGGTAAACCATTATCTTTTACTGTTAAATATGATGTTAACTGTAAGTTATTTTAGAAGAATTTCATCAGGTTGAGCAACTTCTTCTATTCCTACTTTGCTGCTGAGTTTTTATCATTTTCAGAAACTTTATCTGTATCTGTTGGGTTGGTCTTTTTATCTCTTAATATGGTAAATTACATTCTTTTTCAACTATTGAACCAGCTTTACATTCCCAGCATCAACCTTGCTTGTACATGCTTTATCCTTTTTATATATTGTTGAATTTGTGAAGGACTTTTGTGTTTCTGTTCATGAGTGTTATTGACCTATAGTCTTGTTAGACAGTCTTAGTTTGCTATCAGGAAAATGTTGGCCGCATTCATTGATTTGAGTAATTTAATTTGATTATTTTTTCTAAGATTGTACAGAATTGATATTGCTTTTTTAAATTTTGGAAGAATTTGCCAGGAAAATATCTGCCTTCAATTTTTCTCTTAAGGAAGGTTTAAGCTATGAATTAATTTCACAAATAATTATAGATATACTCAAACTGTTTCATTTTGGATGAGTTTTGTTTGTGGTTTTTGAGTAATTTCTTCATTTCTTATAAATTGTCAAATTTGTGTGCTTAGTCACTCATAATATTGTTGCCTTACTAGCTTTTAATGCCTGTCACATCAATAATGATATTTCTGCTTCCATTGCCTGATTTCTGTCTTCTGTGTCCCTGCAAGGGTCTAAAGGTGCTTTCTGTCTTTTGCCCTTGGGCAGTTTTTCCAGAGGCTTTGCAGTTGTCAAAGAACCTGTTTTTGGTTTATTGATTTCCATTTGTTGATTTTCAATTTCATTAACTTCTGCTCTTTATTCTTTTCTGCTTATTCTGGGCTTATTTTGCTCCAGTTCTGAGTAAACACCCTTTCTTTTAATATAAACAATCTTATACAATACTTTTTTCGCTGTGCACTGTTTTAGTTGAATTCTACAAATTTTGGTATTTAGTGTCTTCATTTTCCTTCAATTCTAAGTACTTTTTTTGTTTACTCCCAGATTTCTCCTTTTGACTCAGGCGTGATTTAGAAGTTTCTGTTTACTCTCCAAGTGTTTAAATGGTATCCTTCTGTTACTGATTTCTAGGTAAAGTCCTTTATGTTCAGAGAGCAAACTTTGTCTATGTTCTATTCTTTTAAATTGAGCTTCTCAAATGTGAAGGTTCATGTATTATATTTCACCAAATTAGATATTTGTTTAACCATTATTTCTTCAAATATATTTTTCTTAGTAGGCTCTATTTTTTTTTGGGGGGGGGGTTGTTTGTGGGGTTTTTTGTTTGTTTGTTGGTTGGTTGGTTTTGCCAATCTTTTTATCTCTTCGTTGTTCAGGTTGGATGATTTCTGTTGATCTGCCTTAAAGTTGACTCCGTCATCACTAATGGTACTTAGCCCATCTCATGTATTTTAAGTTTTTGGTTATTAAGTCTTTTCAGTTCTAAATTTTTCATTTGTTTTCACTTTGTGTTTTCACTGAGACCTTCTCTTTTAATCCATTCAAAAGTCTATCCTTACTTTTGGAGAATTCTTATAATAGCTCTATTAAAATCACTTCCAATTAATCCCAACATCTATGTTGTTTTGGCATTGATATCTGTTGACTGTCTTTTCCTGTGAATTGATATTTCCCTTGTTTGTATGTTGAGTAATTTGGTTCTTCATCTTGTTTAAATGCTCTGGAGAATATTGACTTTTTTTTTTTTTTTTTAAGCTGGCAAACAGTTTGCTTGGGTTGAGGCTACAAGTCCCTCCTAGCCACTTTGGGATTGTGGTTTTAACATCAGTTCTGTTTTCAAAGCCTCTGCCATACTCTCCAGCTATGTTCCTATGTTCTGAGTGTACACTGGGCAGAGGTTAGTTCGGGTCCTACGCAGTGGTCTTAGTTCAATGCTCAGTCTTTGATCTGATGTTAGAATCAGATCCCAGAAGTGCTACTCACGGGAGAACCTAGAAACTCAGGCACAACTTTCTGGAGTCGCTTTCCTGAGCTCCTGGTACTTTGCAACCTCCCTGGTATCGTCTGAGTTCCTGGACTCCTGGTTTTCTTTCCCCCTAAAAGTTGATGTTCATATTTCCCGGTCTCCTGTTTAGTTCCACAGCTACACACCTGCTCAAGGCAGAATGTGTGTTCTTGTGTGTCTCTCACTCCTTGAGGTTCCTGCTTTACATGGGCAGAAAGATACTATCGATGTTTGAAATTAAGTCAAATTTTAAAGTCCCTTTCTTTTCTCAAATATATTCTTGTATGTAGGCCTGGCCTGGTTTCATTTACAGCAGAGCTGAACTTTTTACTGACACGAGTCTTGTAAAATTTTTCTTTTTAAAAACACGTATAGAAAAACATTTTTTAAAAAGGCATTGTTCTGAGAATAAGAATATTTGTTATTCATTAGGCCATTGCTTCCCCTTTCAAGTCAAATTCTAGATGTCCCTATGATACCACCAATAAATGTCATTTATGCTGGGAATTTATTTGGCAAATACTTATTTTTTTCACTGTCAATCAGTATTACCAATTGAACTTTTCTATCTACAACATTCCTTGGCCCCATCCCTTTACCTACTGATTTAGTAGATGCACAGCACAATAAATAAAGAGGAAGATGACCTTCATGCTTGTGTCTCCTGTTTGGCACTCTTGTTTCAATGCCAGGCGTTTCCATGGTCTGGGGGATTTCCTTTAGGACAGATATGTCTGAGGAAGATTGAGATCATATTGCTCCTTGAAGGTTGTCAAATCCCTGGGTTTCCCAAGGCAGCTAAGTACCATCTGAGCAAACACGGTGCCAACCCGCAGTTTTCCTGCCTCGGTGAGGGGCTCAGCTTCTCCCCATGTCCCAGGTGTGTTCTTTAATGGCCCATCATTCTTGAGGTTGTCTCGAATCATTGAACATGCATTTCTTAGCTGGTTGTTCCAAACCATTTTGGCAAGGGACTTAATATTATCTTGACATTTTCTTTATTGTGTTTAAGGTCAAAAAATTAAATTTTTTCAAATTTTAAAAATTGAGGTATAGCATACGCCCAGTACTGCTTCACTTGTACCAAACTTAGGTCTACAGCTGGGGCTCTGCATAGCACGTGACCACATCCCCTGCATGTGGTTCCATCACCCTGGTGGCTCCGCAGTGCTCCTTCCCAGCCCGTGACCTCTTCCCCCTGAGTCAGTCTCTGTTCTCCGATTTCTGACACCACTACTTAGTTGTGTCTGTACTAAGACTTTATAGAAGATGCAGAATATATACTGTGTATCTAGTATTTTTAATCAAATGGTTTTTATGACTGATCCTTGCTGAGTTACTTAATATTACTGTTTCTGTCTCGTTTATACCCCCCAAACACCACAGCTAAACCAAAGCAGATTTAATTTGACTTTTATTTTACATTTTTCATAGGTGAGAGACTCTTAAAATTCTTTAGAAAATTTGTCATATTTCTTTTCCCATTCTAAAAGTTTCAGTGGTGTTTTGCTTTGCCTACTCATCTTATATAATAAAAGTGTAATATGCAAATCGATCAAACAGCAGAATGTCTGGTTGGCAGGGGTAGGTGGGTGGGGCTAGCAAGCAGGTGGCGCCAGGCCAGCGAAGGCGCGTGCCAATGGGCAGAGGGAGGGGACATCAGTGGAGGGTGATGCAGGAGGTGGGGGTGGAGCTGCCACTTGCCAGCCAGCGCCACCCCCTAATCAGCCTGCCTGCACACCTCCCTTAGAGGGAGGCCAGACTGTGAGAAAGCAGCAGTCCAGGCTGAGGGACTCACCCCCATCCCCAGGTGCACAAATTTTCATGCACTGGGCCTCTAGTATATTATGTTATTTATTTTCTCAATTTTTTTTCTTGCTCTAGCTCTTCTTTTTCCCCTCTTCAAAATTTTTTTTGTTCCTTTTACTACTCACCCAAGGAGTAGTATGTTTTTATTGATTTTAGAGAGAGGAAATGGAAGAGGGAGAGAGGGAAGGGAGGGGGGAGAGAGAGAGAGAAAGAGAGAGAGAGAGAGAGAGAGAGAGAGAGACATCAATTGGCTGCCTCCCATATGCTCCTTGACCCACAACCTAGGTATGTGCCCTGATGTATGGGATGACACTCCAAACAACGGAGCCACCTGGCCAGGCGTGCTCTTCCACATTTCCTTCTACAAGTGTGTAGAGATGAAAGGGCCATTTCTACAACTTGTTTTCTATTTGTTCTTTGCTGTGCTAGCATTTAGTCTGGGATGAATTAAGGTAACTGAATGCCCGCAGTTATTCTATGTATTAATCTCTATATTCCTTTTCTTCTTTCTGACAGCATGATGGGAGTGGATCATTGCATGATATCCAGCTATCATTGCCATCTAGCCCGGAACCAGAAGATGGCCATCAACTATACAAGGTATGACTAGGTGGTCATGCTGAATTTTTCAAAATTCTTTTTATTACTAAAATTAGACGCCGAGTGCACGAAATTCATGCATGGATCACTATTGGGATCGGGCCTAAACGGGCAGTCAGACATCCCTCTCACACTCCATGACTGCTGGCTCCCAACTGCTAGTCTGCCTGCCTGCCTGATTGCCCTTAACCATTCCCCTGCCAGCCTGATCACCCTAATAACCACTCCTTTGCCAGCCTGATCAACACTTAACTACTCCCCTGCCAGCCCTCTCCAACCAGCCTGGTCATTTTTAACTGCCCTCCCCTGCATGCCTGGTGGCCCCTAACTGTCCTCTCCTACAGGCCTGAACCCTCCCAACTGCCCTCCCCTGCAGGGCTGGTCCCCCTCAACCACCCTCCCCTGCAGGCCTGGTCACTCCTAACTGCCCTTCCCCTGCAGGCCTGATCACCCACAACTTCCCTCCTCTGCCAGCCATCTTGTGGTGGCCATGTTGTGTCCAAAAGGGGGGTGGCCTTCTTGTGTGTTGGAGTGATGTCAGTTTGCGTATTACCTCTTTGTTAGATAGGATTGGATTTTAGAACTTTATGCTGGGTTCCGCTGGTTGTTTCCCTGGGCTCATTCATGCCTCTGCTCTCTGCCCGGGGCCTGTAGCTCCTCTCCCTACAGTCTTTCACCCAACAGGCCATCTCTGTTTTGTTCACTTGGTTGAAATATTAGGGGTCCTCATGGCAAGAGAAAGTGTCAGAAAAAGGCAATGTAAGAACTCCGTTAGCCCGCCATTCCTCACGTCACTCCTTCAGATGTCACTGTTGACTGCTCCTCTGTGTTCTCTCACATCCAGCGAATCACCAAAATCTTCTAATTTGATTTTACTCCTCTCCCTTTTCACCTCTGTTATTACTGTTGTGTGTCAGGTTTCTACTGGTCTAGAGTATTACATCTTGACAATAAGTTTCCTGGCCCAGTTTTGTTGTGGATGTTGTCAAGTATGTCTTCAAAACAGCTGTCAAAGACATCTCAACTGCAAATTCATGTGTCACTTCCTGGCTTAGGCCGTACTTGATACTTATGGCCCTCTAATCTGGCCATTGCCTACTAACTAACCACATAGCTCCCACCACAGCTTTTGTGCATGGCACCACTTGTAGTTCTCCAAATGTGCTGTGCTTGTCCTCATCTCTGTATTGTCTACAATGCTTAGCCTCTCTCACTCTAAAACCTGTCACACTTCTGTGTCTTCGGAACATTTTACTCGTTCTTTTTTTTTCTTCTTTTTTTTTTAATATATTGATTTTTTACAGAGAGGAAGGGGGAGAGAGAGCTAGAAACAGCGATGAGAGAAAAACATCGACCAGCTGCCTCTTGCACACCCCCTACCAGGGATATGCCCGCAACCAATGTACATGCCCTTGACTGGAATTGAACCTGGGACCTTTCAGTCCGCAGACCGACGCTCTACCACTGAGCCAAACCGGTTTCGGCCATTTTACTCATTCTTTAAAGCTCTCCTGGAGCTAACCCATCCCCAGTTGCATTCTCCTTTGCTGATCTTTATGTGTAAAATCCTTAGAGCAGTGCCTGTCATATCGTGAGTGCTGTGTATATGGTGTTTATCAATGTTATTACTAATTGTATTTTATTTCATTTTGGAGTCCTTTCCTCCATCAGTGGCAGAACTTAACACTGACTGAGTGATGGCTAACTAGTACTCCATCAAGTTGTATTTCAATTGTTCCCTATAGGACAGGTGTATATTTGTAAACTTTCAGATAATACCTTGTTGTAAGTTTTCTCATACATAGGACCATTTCTTTGGCATAGATTCCTAGAAATGGGATAACCAAGTCAAAGACTGCAAGTATTTTTATGAATCTTGGATAACCATATGTTTGTCTTTTGTAGTATCTTATAATTGTCATGTTTTCCTGCAGTCTTGTTAGTCACATTGGGTATTTTTCTCAAATTTAACACCTACAAAATAATATCTTTATTTTACATTCTTCAACAAGTTAAACAGAACATTTTGCCAGTGACATATACTGTGAGGACTGGCTCTTAGTCTTTTGGAGCCTAGAAAATGGTTTTATGAGTTTGAACAGGCTTTTACTGAACTGAGATATAAACCCTTTGTCATGTTTGCTTAGGTTTTCTCCAGCTTTTAACTTTGATGGTAATTGTATACATGCTTTAAAATTTTATGTAATTAAATATGGTTATTATTTTTAATAGCATCATTTGCCACATAGCTTAAAACATATCTTTCATTATCTGCAATCTGTCTTTTTTTGGTCTTGATTTATGAATTTTTCAAATTCCTAAACTCTTTATTTCAACTGGAAATCTTTTCTATATATAACTAGAGGTCTGGTGCACAAAATTCGTACATGGGGGTGGAGGGGGGCTGTCCCTCAGCCCAGCCTGCACCCTCTCCAATCTGGGACACCTCGAGGGATGTCCACTGGGATCGGGCCTAAATGGGCAGTCGACATCCCTCTGACAATGCAGGACTGCTGACTCCCACTGCTCGCCTGCCTGCCTTTCTAATTACCACTAACCACTATTGCCAGCCAGCCTGATCACCCCCTAACCACTCCCATGCCAGCCTGATTGATGTCTAACTGCTCCCCTGCCAGCCTGTTTGACCCCAACTTCCCTCCTCTGCAGGGTTGATAGCCTCCAACTGCCCTTCCTTGCAGGTCTGATCCCTCCTAACTACCCTCCCTTGCTGGCCATCTTGTGGTGGCTATCTTGTGTCCACATGGGGGCAGCCTCTTTGACAACATGGGGGCAGCTATTGTGTGTTGGGGTGATGGTCAATCTGCATATTACTCTTTTATTAGATAGGATAGAGGCCTGTTGCATGGGTGGGGATCAGTTGGTTTGCCCTGAAGGGCGTCCCTGATCAGGGTGAGGGTTCCCTTGGGGTGTGGGGTGGCCTGAGCGAGGGGCCTGTGGTGGTTTTCAGGCCAGCCACTCTCTCTCCGGACCCAAGCAGAGGCCCTGGTATCACAAATTTATTTATCTTCTACAATTGAAACTTTGTAGCCTGGAGTGGAGTCAAGTCTTCTGCTTGCTCCATGTCTGCCACCATTTCTATTTGGATTTGTTTACCTTCTATAATTGAAACTTTGTAGCTTTGTGTGGAAGGCAGGCGGAAAGCTTGGCTTTCTCCGTTGCCTAGGAAACCCAAGCCTCCTTCCTGCTCTTTGTGGCTGTAGCCATCTTGGTTGGGTTTATTTGCATACTCGTTCTGATTGGCTGGTGGGTGTGGCTGGTGGGTGTGGTTTGTGGGTGTAGCAGAGTGGTGGTTATTTTGCATATTACTCTTTTACTAGGTAAGATTAGGTAGGATAAAGAGTTTTCCAATTTCAGTATACATAACAATTTAATTATTTTTTGTTAATATTAGTAGAGGGCCATTTCATGAAATTTGTCCCTAGGTCTGGCCCTCAATTAGTGCCTATTGGGGCCTTCCTTCCCCTAGTTGCCAGCTGCCAGCTGGGGCCTTCCTCCATTCTGCACCGCTCCCTGGTGGTCATAGTGAGCAGTAGATCTCCTGGCCATTCGAATTCCTGAGGGGACAATTTGCATATTAGCCCTTTATTATATAGGATTTTTTTAAAGATAGGGATCTAGCCAGTTTGGCTCAGTGTAGGTCTGCAGACCAAAGGGTCCCAGTTCGATTCCGGTCACTTACCTTGGTTACAGGCTCCTCCCAGACCTCAGCCCTGGTCAGGACTCATGCAGGAGGCAACCAATCGATGTGTTTCTCTCACATTGATATTTCTTTCTGTCTTTCCCTCTCTCTCCCACTCTCCCTAAAAATAATTGGAAAAATATCCTTCGGTGAGGATTAAAAACAAGCAAACAAAAAAGAAATGTGATAGGGAATAAACACATGATTTCTCTCCTCTCTCTGCCAGATCAAAGAGATTCCAGATTGCTCAGTTAACAAAAGCCAGAGACCAAGGAAGCTCTTGCTTAATCTCCTCACACCCCTTACAAAATTGCTACCGTTTCCCCGAAAATAAGACAGTGTCTTATATTATTTTTGCTCCCAAAGAAGCACTAGATCTTATTTTCAGGGGATGTCTTATTTTTCCATGCGCTAGGTCTTATTTTCGGAGGATGTATTATTTTCGGGGAAACACTGGTATTTCGTCTCTTACCCAGCTCCATAGAAAGAGTCCTCTATTCACTTATTCAAACCAAAAATGTAAAATCATTCTTACTTTTTTCTTTTTCCTCAGACAATTGCAACCAATCCATTAATAAACCTTATGAGTTCTACCTCAAAAAGCTATCGCTCAGATATTCTTTCCTCTTCATAGATCACATTTCTTTTGTAGATTTCAGAAATTGCTTCATACAGATCATTTGCTTGCTTTCTTAGTCTTTTCTACTCTCTACATAAAATGCCAAAGACCTCAGAGTGACCTTTAAAAAAATGCAAGTAAATAATGCCTTTGTTTGGAGTCTACCCATACATTCCCTTGCATGTGGCTCAAACCCAAACCCAAACGTTTCATTATGGTAAAAACTTTCTGTGTGGCTTGCTTCCTACTTACATAACAGCATTTTAACAAATCATTTCTCCCTCGTTGTAATGCTTACTTGCTATGTTAAAGTCTTCGTAAAATATCCTTTTCTGATCTCTTGCTAAAGAAACTGCAAGTCTTTTTGTTCCTAACAGATCTGAAGGAGTTGGCATACCTTTGCTCAGTAACAATACATCCTAATTATTTGCCTTCATGTTTTTCTCGCTAGAAACAGGATAGCATTATTCATACTGTGTGTGTGTGTGTGTGTGTGTGTGTGTGTGTGTGTGTGTGTAAGATATATATATCTTACTGAAGAAGGTAGTGCAAGCAAGGATATATATTCTAGTATCCTTGCTTGTACTACTTCTTCAGTGTGTATTTCTGGGTAATTGAATAGTAGTAAACAAAATAGACTAGCGATAGGGTAACGATACTTTATATTTAAAAATATAACAGGATTCTGGCTTAGGTTGATAATAGATTTCCATTTAATACTATTAAGAATTTCTTATCGATTAAGTTGACTGAAGCAGTTTTCAGAAAAGTGGCTTCTCAAAAAATAATCTTTTTTAAAACATTTTTTATTATTTTTAGAGAAATGATAAGAGAAAGAGAAACATCCATGTGAGAGTGAAACATTGACCGGCTGCCTCCTGCACAACTCCTACTTGGGACCAAGCCTACATACTGGGCATGTGCCTTGATCAGTAATCGAACTGGCAACCTTTTGGTGCACAGGGTTACACCCAGCCAACAGCCACAATGGCCAAGACTCTGCTGATTTTGGAACCAGCCATGAAATGACTCTTCCTTTAAATACCGTTCCCTCTGCTGCTTGTGTCCTTCGTTTTCAGTGACAGGCACATCTAATACATCCCTTAAAACTTAGCTGGACTGTTTGTGTCCCGGTGTTTTATTCTGTAAAATGGGGATAATAGTACCTGTCTCAGGGTTGTAGTCAGGATAAAATGTGTTGTTGATACCTGAAAGTACTTAGTTCTTGGCCCCTGTTGAGTACTCATGAATGTTAGCTGTTGCTGCTATTGTTCATTTTTTACACATCAAATTCCATTAGAATATGAATTCATAGAACACTAAAATGTGTTTTTTGTTGTTTTTTGTGTTCTTTTTATAGGCTAATAGCTGGAATATTTAAGAACAATTTTTACCTTGAATAAATGAATCATTGCTCAATCTTGATTTAATTTTTCTCAGAGTATTTTAAATGTCATTAAATACTTTATGTTAATTTTTTTTAATGTTTCAGAATGAAGATTTATTAATTGAAATAAAACAACTTAAAGAGGAAATAAAGAAAAAAGATGAAAAAATCCAACTATTAGAACATCAGCTTGTAAGTATTATAGTACAGTATGTGAAGTGAAGACTTTTTAAACTGGGCAATATAAAACTATAGTCATAATTTAAACTTGACTTTATTTTTGGCTTTCAAAGTTGCACTATTATGTTATTTTTAGATGATGTGCACTCTAAAAGTATGTGGTTCAACTTACAGTCTAAATAGTAAACATTCAAGGTGAAAAGAAAATCTTTGTCCATTCATTTTCAGTGGCCTTATGTTTTGAGGTTTTGCAGTCATTTTATTGGTAAAGGGTAAATGCCTTTTCTTAATGTGTTTTTAAAGAAGTGAGTACTGGTGAGCTGAGAAAAAGGAGTTTTCTCTCTGTGGTAGCAGAAGGACACTGGGTATCAGATTCTATACCTGCATGGCTGTCTGTTGGAGACCGTGAAGCGTGTCCAAAGGAGATGGTTCTCCTCCGTGGGTGATGCTGAGAAGAATCTTTATAATTGTATAGGTTATAGATCCAAACATGAAAATATACACACTGTCTCCAACTTAAATATAATGTAGTTTCTAATAATATAAAAGGCCAGGATAACAAGAACATGATGGCATAAAAATACCAACGAGCCAAGAAAGATCTTTGTTGGAAATGAAAAACATATTACTAAAAACTAGCTTTTCCTAATTATGGAAAACTCAAGTACTTGCCAATTCTTACTCTTCATCTGATAGCACACAGACACAGAGACAAACTTATTTCCAGAATTGCACTAGAGTAGAGAGAATAAGTCATATGCTTGGCTTAAGATGAATGGTTTATATTATCTTTCCTTCTTTACACACCTTTTATATATGTGAAAAGTCCTATTGGAGTGAATACCTAGAGATTCTTAAGTTGACTCTTAAATTGAATGACATGGGATTAAACTATATGGGTCCACTTATACACAGTTTGTTTTTTCAGTTAATTCATTCAGTATTGTAAGTGTATTTTCCTTATGATTTTCTTAGCGTTTGCTTTTCTGGAGCTTTATTATTATATAAGGATACAGTATCGATATATATCCACTCATATGATATCAACCAAAGACTTGTGTGCTTATAATGCATAACCCATGGATACAGACAATAGGGTGGTGAAGGCCTGGGTAGGGTGGCAGTGGTCTAGAAGAGGTCAATGGGGAAAAAGGGGACATGTGTAATACTTAAAATAATGAAGATTTTAAAAAAAAAAAAGAATACAGTATATATAATACTTATAACATATAAAATATGTGTTAATTATTATAGCTCTGATCAACTGAGACACACCTAAATTCCACATTCTGTAATAGTCAATTATATATTGAACTAGAGGTCTGGTGCACGAAATTCGTGCACGGGGGCGGGAGGTATATATAATTCTCAGTCCAGCCTGCACCCTCTCCAATCTGGGATCCCTCTCACAACCCAGGACTTCTGGCTCCCAACCACTTGCCTGTATGCCTGCCTGATTGCCCCTAACCGCTTCTGCCTGCCAGCCTGATCACCCACCAGCCACTCCCCTGCCAGCCTGATCGACATCTAACTGCTCTCCTGACTGCCCGATTGCCCCTAATTGCTATCCACTACTGGCCTGGTCACCTTTAACTTCCTCCACTTGCCAGCCTGGCCGCCCCTAATTGCCCTCCCCTGTTGGCCTAGTTGCCCCCAATTGCCTTTCCCTGCAGGCCTGGTACCCCCCCAACAGCCCTCTCCTGCAGGCCTGATCCCCTCCAACTGCCCACCCCTGCAGGCCTGGTTGCCCCCAACTGCCCTCCCTTGCCAGCCTGGTCACCCCTAACTGCCCTCCCCTGCAGGCCTGGTCACCCCCAACTGCCCTCCCCTGCAAGACATCTTGTGTCCACATGGGGCATCCATCTTTGACCACATGGGGATGACCATATTGTGTGTTGGAGAGATGGTCAATTTGCTTATTACCCTTTTATTACATAGGATTTTGTTTCAATGGCCATCTCATTTCTTAGGAATTGGAAATATGTCTGTACTACAAGAAATAGAAAATATCACTACTTACAGATATCTTTTTGTTTTAATTAGATTTTATTTTATAAATGGAAATTGGAATGACCCAATTGCAATTAAGATAAACTTTGAATATTGTTAATTGGGCCACGCCAGCACAGCCAAGGGTTCAGTAAGCCTGAGAAAGGGCGGTGAAGGATGGAGAAAAAAGACAGACAAAGATAATAAGCTGGGTCTAAGTAGATCTTCTGTGCCTGGCTGAGGCCACAGAACAGATCCAGACTGCAAAGGTGAGGCTTTATTTATAATCAGGGACAAACAAGGTAACTTACAATGTTCTTGTGAGTTTCACTTGTTTTGGCAGCACTTGCTGCCCCCTCACAGCCCATTAGCTACCCAGGAAGGATCTAGGGAGCAGTCACAAGATCAAGCTCAATTATGCTTAGAGGACTGTGCCGGCCAAGCTGGGACTTGTTTGCGACTTTGCCAGCAGGTCAGTCCGAGGCTTAACTCTATAACCACTCCCTACAAATAATTACTTTTGAAGTATAAACTTATAATTTTAGCTTGTGCAATAATCAAGAATTTGTTATATAGGTATCCCTACAAGAAAGTATATTTACCTCTATTGGAGTTATTTAACAAATAATAAGGTTATATTCCAACTTCCCACTGAAGAAAAATTCTCATTATCAGTCTTTTTATTTTTTAAAAAAATTGGTATTTATTTGAAAGACCAAAGTTTACACAATAGACACATTACTTTGTGTGTGTAAGTGACTCAGTAAATATGCTTGAGGAGAATCATATGTAGAGAATGCATTTGTGACCTGAGATGCCCGAATAGGTCTTGTCAAAGGGCAGAGACCCTTCAGCTTCCCAGTCCAATGGATTCAGCACATCCTTACAGGAGCTTGAAAGCACTGGGCATGTGAAAAGACAAGCTTATTTGTGGGTTGGCATATTTAATATCCAGTAGAATCCAATCAAAAGTGAATTTAAGGAATTGTGCTGCAGTTGTTGTAGTAGCATCATAGTTTTGGGAAATATTTAAAATCTTACAATTGCATTCTTTAGATACTATATATTATTATATATATTCTACATCTATATATATATAGTACTGTATCTATATATGTAAAGTCAGGTATTGTGTTTTATGCATAATAAAAGAGATTTCCAACGGTAATTTTAACTATTCAAAATCGTAAGTTGACTGTAGAATCCAATCTCTGAATAAAGCAGACTACCTAATAGATCTTGATGTTTGCCCTTTTATTTTTACCCCCTAAGAGAGATCCTGATTACTTTGTTTGTCCACGCATAGGGATGTGAAAAATTATACCAGTATAAAAATTTGTGTTTTTGTCCAGGCAACACGGTGTAACTGCCACCAAAAATCTAAAGAGGCAAAATGCACATATGCCGATAAATATACCCAAACCTCCTGGAGAAGAATTCCCGTAAGTAATTAACCCCTCTTCTTGTCATTTACTGTTTCGATGTTTTGTTCACCTTTTTTACTCTGATCTCTAACATTGTGAATCAGCCATGGTGGTTAATTTTTTTTAAGTTGTCTTTTTCTTGTCTCGTAGGTATGTATGTGCTTTCTAAGCTTGTCTTGTGTGTCTTACATAAGTGCATGTGCATTTAATAGCTTTTCCATTCTGCATATTGCAACCCATTTTATTTGAGTGTCTAGTCTTCTCTTACTGCCTAGTATATTTATGAGTATTATTTCCCCATACCCTTAAAGAAACAGAAGTAAAAAACGCAGCCTTCCTTCTAGCAGCAAATGACTCTGAAAATATATAATGCTATGTATTCTTTTTTGTTGTTGTTGAAATTTTTCAAATAGATTTTATTATTAGAATTTCTCAAATGTTGAGGCTGTTAGGAAGTATAAATGAATTAGGAAATAGGCAGTAAAGGTTATGTTTTAGACATGGTTAGGTAATAGTTTGTAGAAAATAACCATGCAATCTTTTCTTTGCTGTTTTGCAAGGTTACATCTCAAAACATAGTTAGTACTAAAATACACTGACCATAATTTAACCTGAGTTTTTTTTTTAATTTAGTTCAGGTTGTCTGAGCCAGAGTCATCAGATGGCCACAATCCTTATCCTATGGCATATGCTACAAGTAGCTACTTCTTGTTAAGAGAATGCGTAATAAGCCAGCCTTGACTCTTCTTTTGCCTTATTTTGGCAGTGAAATCCTAGTAGCACAAATGAACAAGAACCCATCTATCATCTATCTATCTATCTATCTATCTATATTTAAAGAGCCAGGGTCAATAATGACCAAGGCTCGACCGAACACTGACTGCAGAGGGGGCTGTGAATTAGGCCCAGAGAGAGGCCTGCAGAGAGAGAGGCAGGGTCTGATCCTCAGCCTCTCTGGTAGCTGTTGATCAGCCATTGTCTCTCTCTTTCTCTCCCAGTGTTGGCAGCAGCCATGTCTCTGTTTCTCTCCGGGCCTCCTTAGGGGCTGCTCATCAGCCCCAGCTCTTTGATCAGGCTCAGAGATAAGCCTGGAGATCCTGACTGGCATAGAAACTGACCAATCAGAACCAAACCTGGGTGAAGTGCCAGGAGCCAATGGCTGCCTAGGAGGCAGAGCTTTTGATGCTGACTGGCATAGAAACTGACCAAACAGAACCTAATCTGGGTGAACTGCGAAGCAGACCTAAAGTGGGGACTGAGGAGGGGTTTTAAGGGCAATAGCTGGTATAAGGTGTAAGAAAGTGGCTCAATTTTTTAATGACTGGTTTGGCAGTATAGTGCATATGGCTGGCTATCAGCCCAGATATAGAAATTATGTGTTTTAGTCTGCCAGTAGCATCTCCTCTTGATGAAAAAGGCTTCACTCCCCGCCCCTCTATACTATTAAAAGAGTAATATGCTAATTAGACTGGGTCGACCGGCCATCTTTCAGATATCTGACTTCCTTCCAGACAAAGCCATGGTGGTGGGGGCCAAGGCAGAGGCAGTTAAGGGCGATCAGGCCAGCAGGGGAGGGCAGTTGGGGGTGAGATCAGGCTGGCAGGGGAGGGCAGTTGGGGGCAACCAGGCTAGCAGGGGAAGGCTGTCGGGGGCGAGATCAGGCTGGCAGGGGAGGGCAGTTGGGGGCAACCAGGCTAACAGGGGAGGGCTGTTGGGGGCGAGATCAGGCAGTTAGGGGCTATGAGACAGGCAGAGGCAGTTATGGGTGATCAGGTCGGCAAGGGAGGGCAGTTGGGGGCAAGATCAGGTTGGCAGGGGAGGGCAGTTAGAGGCAGGCAGGCAGAAGCAGTTAGGGGTGATCAGGCAGGCAGGCAGGTGAGTGGTTAGAAGCCAGCAGTCCCATATTGAAAGAGGAATGTCTGATTGGAGAGGGTGCAGGCTGGGCTGAGGGACCCTCCCTTCCCCCCGTGCACAAGTTGCATGCACCAGGCCCCTAGTAATAGTTAATAATCAGCAATCCAGTTTTTAAAACTTAGATGTAGACCTCTAAAGTTTATAACTTTTCTTTACATCTAATTAGCAATTTTTGTGCCTTTTGTATAAATATAATGCTGATAATTAATTTCTTCAACAAAAGTTTGGTGAGCCTCTCTCATCAACTGGCTTTTGAAGTAGAGTGAGGATTTGGAAAAGGAAATACACAGACAAATAAGGGGATTCTGATATTAACAAGTGCTTATTAAAGATAGTGGTGATGGAATATTTCTTTAAAGTCAAAGGATGTAGAAACTTGTTTAGAAACAATTACAAAATGAAAAACCGTGCCGCTTGTTCTAGATGGAGCAGTGGTCCTTCTAGGTTTCTCCAGGATATTCTCAGGGATGTCTGTGTCTTCTAACTTTGTCACTAGTGGAGTGTGACTTCATTAAGTGTGAAGTCCCATCTTCCCAGGAGTTTATATCATCTCTGGCTCCTCAGCTTCACTATTCTGGAAACTGGCTATTGATTACTTGCAGGGATGCTCACTAGACAAAAGTAAATGGTGCAAAACAGCCCAAGAATATATTCCTGAGTTAGTTTCACTATGATCTTGAGGGAAGTGAAGGTCAGATTTTCAACCTAACACACCTAACAAACCCAGACTTTATGCTTCCTTGTTGTCCTTTATTGTAGGAGTCACCTGGCTGACTACCTTTGTTTTATAGAGAAGGGAGATTAAATGGCATAGTCAAGGCTCCTAATTAACCAGTGGCTGAAATAGTACTATTAACTTCAGACTGCTGATTTTTTAGTCCAGTGTTCCTTCCCCGCAAAGCACACTGAGGTGCCCGAACTGAGAGGGGGTCACAGATTGAAATGGGAGATACATATATAGAGTTGGGCAAAGTAAGGACATGATATTGGCAGGAACACAGACATGATTAGAGAAATAGTTGAAAATAATGTTAAAGTTCATTTAAGGATAGAATTTAAAAATATACCTAGGAATTACTGGGAAAGTAATTGCATTTAATTAAAGGAATAGTTACATATATTTATTTAATCAATTTAATGTTAACTATTAAATATTAATATTAAATATTGAGTTTATTCCCTGATTTTTATTTTCTTTGGATGTTGATGGATTCATCTTATACAATAAAAGCCTAATATGCTTTAGTCCAATCGTCCGGTCATCTCTTCAACCAATCAAAGCGTAATATGTTAATGATATGCTAAGGCTGCTTAACCGCTCACTATTGATGTGCACTGACTACTGGGGGGCAGTTGACCATTCGACCAGTCTCTATGACATGCACTGACCACCAGGGGACAGACACTTCGACTGGTAGGTTAGCTTGTTGCTGGGGTCTGGCCGATCGGGACTGAGCAAGGTGGTCCAGATACACCCTGGAGCCTTCCCTCAGTCCCTCCCCAGCTAGTTAACCTCCCTCTTCCCTCCCCAGCCCTGATTGTACAGTGGTGGGGTCATTCGGCCTGGCCTGTGCTCTCTTGCAATCTGGGACCCCTTGGGGGATGTTGGAGAGCTGGTTTCGGCCTGATGCCACAGGCCAGGCCAAGGGACCCCACTGATGCACAAGTTGTGTACCAAACCTCTAGTTTAAAATAAATTATTTTGGAAACCATTTACTGTAATAACAAAGGTTTTCTTTTTTCTTTTAAAAGTTACACTTGATTCTTTTTTAGCAAGAACCCAACATATTTAAACAAGATGTTAATGACAGGGATGGAGAGATTCAATGGGACTCTTTGGCAACATCTGGTTTGTCAGGTGGTGATTTGGGGAACCAAAGCCTGTTATATTAAAAATATTTACCAAGTTTAACCAAGACCGGTTTGGCTCAGTGGTAAAGCATCGGTCTGTGGACTGAAAGGTCCCGGGTTCGATTCTGGTCAAGGGCATGTACCTTAGTTACATTGGTAGGGGGTGTGCAAGAGGCAGCTTGTCGCGACGTTTCTAGCTCTCTTATCTCTCTCCCTTCCTCTCTGTAAAAAATAAATAAAATATATTAAAAATATTTACCAAGTTTAGTGTAGGTTGTGTTGTCTTTTTAAATCTGGCTAAGCTTTTGGGAAGATTGAAAGTAATAATCTGAGTACTTGTTCTTCACCACTCCCTGCAATATCTTGGGACATTAAATGCCCTTCTTGAGACTCCCCCAGTTAGTTGAGGGTTATTTGATGCGTCTCAGAGATTTGTGAGGCACATGTCAGCATTTCCAGTGAACATTTCCTGGAATAAGAGGAAGAAACCTGGCTGCAAGGGAAGGCAGAGAATGGTGGAGGAGAAAGCTTCTGCCTATAATACTTGGGAGTGGCTATTTAGAATGTGAAAAGAAATAGAAAAAAAACAGATATTGCAGGCAGAGCCTTTCAGAAGAGGGAGAGTGGAGGGCCACTGCCAGCAGCAGAGCAATGGAATGTGACTGTGTTGGGCCCAACATATGTTCTCATAAATATTTCCCTAAGAATTTTGGTATCACCTAATAGCTGCAAGTAAATTTTTAATTTTGAGAACCATCAGGAATCCGAGGAAGAAATAAGGTATTAGCCGAAGCTGGTTTGGCTCAGTGGTAGAGCGTCGGTCTGCGGACTGAAAGGTCCCGGGTTCGATTCCAGTCAAGGGCATGTACATTGGTTGCGGGCACATCCCTGGTAGAGGGTGTGCAAGAGGCAGCTGGTCGATGTTTCTCTCTCATTGACGTTTCTAGCTCTCTATCTCTCTCCCTTCCTCTCTGTAAAAAATCAATAAAATATATTAAAAAAAAAAAGAAGAAAAGAAAAGAAAAGAAAAAAGAAAGAAAGAAATAACGTATTAGAACAAGGAAAGGAAGGAAAGCAGATATCCACATACTCACAGATATTTGTGCGCCCACTCTATTCTGGCACTGTCCTCATCTGAGAGTGTAAGATGAAAAGGGTGCACACAGACCCAGGCCTCAAGATGCTTACAGACCTCCAGTGTGCCATGAATGGTGTTCCTCTCATTCTCTTCCTACCTTTGAAGAAACTGGGAC